CAAAAATCTCTTCCAAACAAGCACTCAGAATCACCCAAAAAGTGATTTTAGAGGATCATTTTCTTATTTATGTATTTTATTATCTTTACTATCGATTTGAGCCATTCAACCCTTTCATGGTTAATCCTTTACTCTTTTCGAGTCAATGCTCAATCGACTTACAAAACTTTGTTTTTTCACTAAATATGCCACCTTTTGGTTGTTGGCAAAGAAACTACTTACCATACACTTGTAAGGTTTCATCCAAACCAATGTATTTATCCAATTAATAATGTTTAATTAAGGAATCGAATTTCGAAAGTCATTATATATATAGATGAGAATTTCCATGCAGGGTACCGACAAGGGTTGGAACATTTAAATTCTTCGATTTGGTCTTTTGTTGTAGCTAAGAACGTGTTTGGCTATGTTCATAAGTAAAACTAACTTTTAAGTAAAATTTTCCTTCTAGTTTTTATTTAAAAAAGGTCTCTTTCTTGACTTATCACACGCATATTTAGCAAGGTGGGACGTCAATTATCATTAATTAGTACCTAAAACCCTAAATTCATCTGTATATACTTTGACAGTGTAGTCTTTCTGCCTACAAAAGCAGTGCTTAGCAAACCAATTTTCTTCATTTGCAATCTGCCAAACTCACAACCTCAATACATTTCTTGAGAGGTTTTCTGCTTTATATTGCACTTCTTCTTTTAATCTCTCCGAGTTTGCGCCTACTCGGAATCGAAGAGGTGGTTCATTTTTTATAACGTGTTATAGTAGTCGGACATGTTAGATAAGTAATTACGGGATTTTAGTTTCTTTTTCTACTTTAACGTTGTCCAATCGAGTCCACATTTCAGGATGTGCTTCTTACTAGCTCTAATTTCTTGATTATCTAATGAACTGATAATTTGGTTGAAAACAGGATAANNNNGATAATTTGGTTGAAAACAGGATAAGGAAAAGCAGAAGTGAACTTCAGTTTTGTTTTCCATCAATCTACCTTAAAAAGTATAGTAAAGAAACAAAAGGAAATGTGGAGGCTGAAGATTGCAGAAGGAGGTAACAACCCTTTTTTGTACAGCACCAACGATTATGTAGGCCGACAGACATGGGAGTTCGACCCCGACTATGGAACGTCCCAGGACCGAGCCGAGGTTGAAAAGGCTCGTCAAGAATTCTGGAACAACCGCTACAAGGTCAAGCCCAGCAGCGATCTCGTCTGGCGGATGCAGGTAGGCGTCTTTAAATTAAAAATCGATCATGATATTGAATCGAAAAATGTAAAGATACTTCATCCATTCTATAAAGATAAATTTGCTTTCCTTTTTCGTTTATCACAAATTATAGATTATAGTTGATTTTTTAGTTTTTTTAATATGTCTCTATTTAGCCCCTTTTTGAGCTCCATTAGAATGTAGTTTTTGGGGGAAATGATTTTCGTAATAATGATTTTTTCAAGAATGTGTGGTTTAAAAA